CAAAAGCTTTGAGTTTGGGATGACCCATTAATAAATGGGTTAGGTTTAATTTCTAGTTTATGACCCATTTAAAAAATTGGGTTGGGTTTAGGTCAATCTACTAACCCAAATTTGACCTTGATATTACCCTTGTTTTATCTACGCACCCACCTTCCTTCATCCGTACAGGCTCCACTACATCCGCCGCACCACACCAGTATAGATAGGGCAACCATGCATATATCATACATGCATTTTTTGACCTTTCTTGTGCCGCCCATGCTCACATCTCCCTCGCTCATTTATAAGCCAGCACCCGCATTCGCACCTTATACCCATGCTCACACCCCACATGCCTGCAATATGTATTTGCATCAGCATCTAGCCCTCACCCGCTCTCCATCATGGTATGCACATTTTGCCCTCACGCCCATGGCTCATACCCTCGCTCGTTTGTAACATGCTCGTAATCCAAGTTAGAGGGTCAGATCTGGGTCTAAATTCCTGACCTATTTTCCTAATCTAGTTGGGTTCATGTTGGATTAGTTGTAGGCAGACAATTTTGAGTTGGACCCGAACCTAACCCAAAACACATTTTGACACCCATACCCGCATCAGACATATTGTGAGGTGCTTAAAGTGGGGCTTTGATAATTTTACCAATCCTTTTATGAATATCTTTTCTTATTTTCTTAATTGGTGAGATGTTTATGTTCATATTATTTTAATCTATCAATGATCATATGTGCAATTGAATATTAGCAAACTTTAATACACCCTTAGGTGTAGTTGGAAATGCTCCTAAATCTTATTTTGTTAGAAATTATTTCCCTTTTGGATTGATCTTCTTATTCCTGCTCAATTAAATAGATTTTTAACAAAATGTATATGTAATGCATATTTAGTTATCTATATCATATATATACATGTATGCAACTCAACACACCTAACACTACGCCAAAAAAAATCAATTCTACAACTCTAGTTACAAAGTTTGATTATTCCACATAACTGTAATAATAAACAGTAGGAACAATATCTTGTATATCATGTAATTCATATAACTATAGGAACATATAAAAGTAAATATATAATGTAATTTATATACAACCTTATCATATGCATTTCATTCATTTCATCAACATATATCATATGTTCATATCATCACTTTATCAGTCTAGATGCATGTTAATCAATTAATCCTATCATCAATCAATTTATCTTATTTATCATCTATTATATATGTCATCAGTCAATCTATCTTATATATCATCTATTTTATCTAGCATTGATCATATCTATTATTTTTATTATCAATTGCCAACTAATAATTATATATCTATCATATCATTTATATAATTATATATATTATAATGTTTGCATATTAATATTGAATTTAGCAAGATAAGGCATCCAACTTTTATAGTAGTGTTTTCATCCTTTCATCTTCTATTCATTTGTCTTATCAATCCATCATCATCAGTCAATTATATCTTTTAATTTTTTTACTAATTATTTTTTACAAGTGACTTTCAATAAATTAATAAAGAGTCATCACTCTTTACCTGCCATCATAATCAATCAATCAGTTATAGGTTAATATCCAAGATTACACCAAAAGCTTTTATTTTAATGAAAGCCTCGACCCACCCATTTGTATATGGTATTATCATTTTACTAGCTAACTCATATTAATTATAGTATTCACACTCAGCCTTCATTTCTTTTATGTAAATGACATATTTATCATATATTAGTCATATGGTTTTCTTTGTGTCAATATCATGTGTGAAATGCAATAACCCTTTTACAATCTATGAAATGCATGGTAATCTATATATTTTTTCTTCATAAAATAAAAAATATCCATTTATCTAATAAAATTTTTTATAGCTCATTCAAAAAATTTAAAATAACAATATCTATTACATACGAAAAGTTACACAGTGGAAGTTCACTAATATGAGAGATATCACATTTTTATCACTTTGAGGAGGAACATAAATACCAACTCAAAATCATTGAAATAGATGTAGAATAGAGGTTACTTACAATGATCAGAATACTTTTTATAATATAAGTAATGGACAAACAAACCCTAAAAAGTCTTCTCCCTTCTCTCCTCTCTCCCTTCTCTTCTCCTTCCCTTTCTATCCTTTCCTGACAATGTAAATAAAATAGGGGAGGAATGGATTAGTGTAAATGGATTAAGATATTTTAATACTTAATATCCACTATTTTGAGCTAGCATCGATGCACTCAACTTCCCAACATCGTTGCACTCCTAGAAAATCTTCTAGATTCTCTTAGAATATCCTCACATGAGACTAGGTGGAGCCACCCCAGCATCGCAGAGCTCACTCAAATCCAAAAATTAGAGAGCTCAATGCTAGGGATTCGCCAACCTAGGTGCAGTAGCGCTCCTAGAGAAGTTTTCTAAACATGGGATCTGGGTAATTGCACCCTCACAAGATGTTTGAAAATGATGGTCTGCCCTTGACCATCCTCTCTCACATGAATAGATGCCTCATGCTACCACAGATCCTAGGAAACCCAAGATTATGAGGAACTATAGAGCTAGTAGGATTTAAGGCAATTAAAGCCATTTAATAAAAAAATTTATTTGGGAAAGTCAAATTGGGTTCAATTGAATCAATTGGGTTGAATCAAGTTCAAATCGAGTTTGGTTAGAGTAGATCATGTTGATTCTTATTGAATCTCGATTAGGTTGTTAAACCTAAACTACTGTCCCAAGGCTAATCAAGAGGGGGAGTGAATCGGTAATTTTAAAAATTACTCTTGGATTTTAAAAGTGTAACCAATTGATATACGAAGCAAGTTAATTTAAAGTTTTTCAAAATAACTTTTCAACCACGAAATTAATAACTTGCAGTAAGTAAGTAACAGAAAAATAAAAGACACAAAGATTTATAGTGGTTCTATCAAACATGACCTACATCCAGTCCCTGAAGCCTCCCACTTCAGGTATTGCACTATTACCAAAGTGACTCTCCTTTAACCCCCACAGCAAGGCGAAGAAGCCTTTACAAAAACTCTCTTCCACTAATCCCCGGTGCTGCAAAGAACTATCGTCCTTTCACATCCTTCAAGTGTAGGTAGAGAACCTTCATCCTTTCACACCCTCTAAGTGTAGGTAGAGTACCGTTGGCTGTTCACACTCTCCAAGTATTGGCAGAGATCCGTCCTCCTTTCACACCCTCCAAGTGTAGGCAGAGAACCTTCATCCTTTCACACTTCCCAAGTGTCGGCAGAGAACTGGATCTTATCCAAAGATCTTCTCATGAGCAATCTAGAAAGATAAGATGAAGAGTGAAAAACACAAATCACACTTATGGATCTTTACCTTTGAGTAATCTTATGAACCCTTCAAACTCCACTCATAAGAAATCTCTCTCAATTACTCTCTCACACTCTCTCCTTCAATTGCCGTTGAAAAATCACGTAGACAAGACTCTCTCATGTTAGTTTTAGTGGATCTTATATACAAAAGACATGAAAAATCATCCAGAAAATTGATTTCTTCAATTTAGAGAGTACAAGATCATCCTATACGATCGAATGTTCGTACGTACGAACAGTTCAAATACTATTTTATACGAATCTATTATGAATTGGTACAAAATCATTTCATACCCGATCATTATCTGGTATGAACTATGTTTCTCCGGAATGAATAGTTAGAAAATTTAATTTTTGTCTGTACGAAACATTAGGACGAAATGAACGAGAATAGTCCCGAGACATTCATTCTAGTACAAAATGGAAACCATCCCAAACAATCTTTGTTTGAGAACAAAATAGAGTCGTCCGTCCCTGTACAAAACTTAATATTGCCCGTACAATTTTCGTATGAGGACAAAAATAGAGGCGTTCATCCATATACAAAATTTAATATCATCCGTACGATCTTCATATGAGGATAAAAATAGAGGTGTTCATCCCTATTTGAAATTTAATATCATTCGTACGATCTTCGTACGAGAATAAAATAGTGATGTTTATCTTGGTATGAACATTAACATCGTCCCGTACGATCTTTGTTCGAGGATAAAATAGAGGCGTTCGTTCCTGTATAAAATTTAATATAGTCCCATATGATCCATACTTAGAAAAAATATTTTCAAATTTGTTCGTTCAACTGCTCATTGAGAGAAATAACTGACCAGATCGTCCCGTACGAAGTGATATCATACGATATGATCAGTTTAAAAAATGTAAATTTTAAACTCTACCCTAGTGTGTGTGTGCTCAATTACTCAAATAAAATCACACTCTCTCAGACTCAATAAAATGAAAAATACAGACTTCAAACACAATAAACTCTAAACTAATCTTGATTTGAAGTCTTCAACAATTCAACGTATGATTTCCTTAAAATGTTAGAACACATAAGAGCAAAACAATTCTTCCAAAGTGTGTTAGGAGAAATAATAATCAAATCAATAATATTTAGAATCATAAAAAATATACAAGTTGTAAGAATATCAAAAATACAAAACTAAGTAGCAATAATCTCCCGCTTTTTTATGATGGCAAAATAATTATTATTTGAATTAAATTAAAAATCCTAAATTTCTCCTTAACTCCACCTAAATGAATAAGCATGTGAATATAAGAGAATTTCTATTAAGAATAAATCAATTTTTAATTTTTAAAGTTTAAAAAAACACAAAAAGTGAGAAACAAAAACAAAATACAAAGCAAAACACTATGAACATTACAAACAAAAAAAAAAAAAAAAAAAAAAAAAAAAAAAAAAAAAAAAAAAAAAGACAAGAAACAATCAAATGCAAACCGAAAACAATCAAATACAAATAATATTTCTCACCATTTTTGACAAAAATAAAAAGAGAAGAAGAAAAAATAAAAAAATGTAAGAAGTCATATGAGAAACCTTAAAATCAGATTTAGAGAGCGGGAGGAGAGAGAACGTCCGTAAAAACAGGTAGGGAAATTCGCAGATTTGAATTTTTTCCTTGGCGGTAACGGTCGTCTGTTGGATGGAGGAGGTCGATCGCCGGCACATTGCCGATGATTCTCCGATGAAGGCTTGCAGAGATCCTGCGGATGGTGTAGGAAACATTGCTTTGATTAAACATCAAGGTGCTTTGGTTATTAGAGAAGGAGCTGTTCCATTGCCTCAAAAAAAAATCTACGTGGAAGGGAAAGGTAAGGCTGTTTCATACCTGGGAGATCAGGTAACTCCTAAAAACGTGAAATCTGCATTAAATACATCTGATATTTCGGCATCTTCTTCGGGAATGAAGATTTTTGTTAGTCGATTTGCGAATTCGAATGAAATCCCTGGACTTGGTCGCAGCGAGATAAATGAAAATCCGTAGTTTTTTTGTTAACAAAAATGTTCTTTCTAATATTAACAATGCTGATAAATCAAATGTAGTTAACGTGTCTGTTGATTTGCCTAAATCAACGATCTCTAATGGACCTTGGAGTAGAAAGACTTATATCAATTTGGATTTCAAAGTAGATGATTTGATTTTGTCTGATGATGTGAAAGCTGTTAAACCGAATTCAGAATTGGAGGAATCAAATGCTAATAAATTATCCAAATCTTTGGTTCTCAAAGTATTTGGTAAAGATACTCCTCCTCAAATGGTGGCATGGGAATTAAGGAAACAATGGAAGCAATTTGGTCAATTCCATTTTACTATCCTAGGAGGTGGTTGGTTCTTATGTTCTTTTTCTACAGAGGAAATGGTTATAGCTGTGCTTTCGGGAGGTCCATGGTTTGTGAATGATCATATTATTGGTATGGAGAAGTGGTCTCCGGAATTCAACTCCTCTTCAACTAAGGGTCTTTCTTCTCCAATATGGATTAGATTGCCTCATTTACCGCTTCAATGCTGGGATGAAAAGAATGTTGCTTGTATTGCCTCAAGAGTTGGAAAACCCTAAATGATAGATGGGAATATGTTCAATTGGGGAAGAAGGGAATTTGCTAGGATTTGTGTGAGAATCCAATTTGATCAACCTCTTCCTTTAGGAGTATGGGTGGACAGCTTAGGGGGAAGGTTCTTTCAAAAAGTAGAGTATGAAAAGGTCTCTAATATCAGCTTTGCTTGTGGAAAGATTGGGCATGTTGAGAAGAATTGTGTAAAACCAAAAGAACTGCTTAAGGAGGTGGAGGTGGAGGTGGACCATGTAGTAGCAGGAAAATTAAATAAAGATATGGAGCATTCTACTTCTGAAGTTTCTACTTACGGTCCTTGGATCCTGGTTAATAACAGGAAGAATAACTTCTATAAGCATAACAACAAATTAATCCTAATTATGTCAATCCTATGAAGAAAACTGAAACAGAGGTGAATATTAAAGATAAATCTCAATGTGATATTCCTAAAGGAGTATCTCAGGCGGTAACAGAGGTATTTAATTCTTCTAATCTACAAGTAGAAGAAGGTGAAATCTGCAGTTCTGGTTTTTATCAGGAAAACAACATTGTGGGAAAGGGTTGTTTGCGAACTCAGGTAAATCCTAAGGGATTACCTGCGAACTCAAGTACTCCCTATCAAAGTTCAGAAGACAAGAATCGGGAGGTTGTTATGGAGTATGCTGATCATCAAAAGTCTTGTGAAATAGACAGTCTAGAGACGTCTGTAGTCCAAGATCAAACGGTTCTGAATGAGGAAAAAATTTCGGAAGCTGTTATTGAAAACTCTTATCCAGGACATTGTTTGAATGATATCAACTGCAAAAACAAATTTTCTATACTAATAGCAGAACAAGATGAAAATGTGCATGTTATCCCAAAAGGATATTCTACTGCTGATAGTAGTATGCATGAAGAGAAGACAATGAACAAAGATGATAAAAATTCTGATATCAAATCCAGTTTGGAGGAGATTCTCGTTATTGAAGAAGTAAAATTTAAGCTACATAAAGAACTTAGATCATTGGGGAATGTTTCTTTAAAATCAAAAACAAGGAAAGGTGATTCAAAGAATTTTTGTAGTGGGTCTAATCCCACTTCAAAGAAAAAATGAGTTCTCTAATTTTTTGGAATTGTACGGGGGCTAGGAAAGTGGTGGCCTCCATGTATTTAAAAGAAGTGGTGAAGGAGAATGATGCTTTGTTTGTGGGTATCATGGAAACTAAAGTTTCCTCTATGGAACCTACGGAAATAAAAAAGTTTTTTGCGGAATGGTGGGATTTCTTCCTATATCCGGCTTCCGGCTTATCAGGGGGAATCTTAGTATGTTGGAGACAAGACTTGGCTGTTTTTGAAGTTACCGATGCTAATGAGCAGATGGTGGTTGGGAAACTGAAAATAAAAAATCATCCTACTTGGATGATTGCTTCGATCTATGGAAGTAGGAATTGCAATAAAAGAACAGAGCTTTGGCATGATTTGGAAAATTATTTTAATGATGATTTTCCTTGGATTATTGGGGGAGATTTTAATTGTATAATCTCTCAAGATGACAAAAGAGGAGGCAGGAAATTTGTACATTCTCAAGGATCACTTGATATGATCTCTTTCATGAATAGAGGAGACTTACATGAAGTTGGATATTTGGGTCCTAAATATACTTGGTGCAACAATAAAGATGGAAGAGGTAGAATATTGGAGAGGCTTGATCGGTGCCTTATCAACAGTGCTGCTCTAAATCTTCTTCAATCAACGGTGGTTAAGCATCTAGCTAGGATAGCATCGGATCACTGTCCTATTGCTATTAAAATTTTGGAATCCAAAATTACAAAAAGTAAGAAATTTGTTTTTGAAAACATTTGTTTATCCTATAAAGCTTCCTACTCTATTGTTTCAGCTGCCTGGAACAAAAAATCGAATGGCTCGGCTTCCAGCATCTTAAACTCCAAATTCAAGAGGGCGTTGAGGTCTCTTTTCTTTTGGAATAAAGAAAAACATAAAAATTTGTTGGAATTGAAACAAAAACTGAAAATGGAAATTCTGGAATTATAATTTGAAGAAATAAATTTGGGTGGTTTATCTGATCTCAAACTTTGCATCTTAAGAACAAAAATTGCTGAATTCAACAATACTTTGGGAAGGCTTAGCATGTGGTGGAGACAAAGGGCTAAAATTTATTGGATGAACGAAGGAGACACCAATTCAAAATTCTTTCATGCTTATGCTTCATCCAGGAGAAATTCTAACAAATTAATGGTATAAAAAATGAGGAAGGGATCTTCTGTGAAGATAAGCAAATTATTGAAGACATTTTTTTCAAATACTTGAACAACAAATGGAAATTCAGGCATTGTAGCTTGAATGGTTGGCCGGATCCTACATATAAACTGAATGAAGAAGAATGCAATATTCTCAGTAAAGAGTTCACTTTCAATGAGCTAGAAGAGGTCATTTAAAACTTGGGTTCTAACATATCACCAGGTATTGATGGTATAACATATTCTTTTATTAAATCGTATTGGGCTATTATTAGAAATGAAGTTTGGTCTGCTATAAAAGAATTTTTTAATTCTGGTGTTCTGTGTCCTGGTTGGAAGGAAACCAGTGTTATTTTGATTCCCAAAGTGGTGTCTCCATTATCTCCTGAAAATTTCCGTCCAATTAGCTTGTGTAACACTATATACAAGATTGTTGCAAAGATGATCTTGAATAGGATGTTTTATTTTTCCTAAAATAATTTCTGCTGAACAAAGTGCTTTTATTAAAGGAAGGTCTATGGTTGATCAAGTGCTTCTAGCCCAAGAATTGTTTAATAAATTTAGACATTCTAAAGCTAAAAAAGGATTGATAGCTATCAAAATAGATATGGAGCAAGCCTATGACAGCATGTGTTGGGCTTCATTGGAAAAAGTGATGAATTGGTTTGGGTTTCCTAAATCCTTTTCTGAAATCATTTTGGAATGTGTGGTTAATCCTAAGTTTTCTATTTTAATTAATGGAGAAAGTTCAAAGCGGATTGAAGCCAATTGTGGATTTAGACAAGGGTGTCCCTTGTCACCTTTCCTCTTTATTATGTGCTCTTAACTCTTGAGTGAAGAATTCGATAATACAGGCAAAACAATTGGTATTAAAGTTAGTCCAAATGGTCCTTTAATTTCTCACTTAATGTATGCCGATGACATTGTGATTTATTCAAGAGCAAACAAGTCTAGTCTGAAAAAAGTTAACAAAATCTTAAATAATTACTGTGCTTGGACTGGACAGAAGATAAATTTCAAAAAATCTGCGGTTATTTTCAGCAAATCAGTTAAAAGAAGAGACTATAGAGCTTTACTCAGAATTACCAAAATGAAGATGGTGAAAGAACTGGATTACCTGGGAGTTAAAATTGCTCTTAGGAGATTAGTCAAAGCGGATATCAACAAAATTATTGAGAAATCAGTAGCTAAGTTGAATGTTTGGGGAACAAAGTTTATTTCTCTTGCGGGCAAAGTCACTCTGATCAAAGCTTCTGTTCTCTCGTTAGCTACATATCAAGCCAGTCACTCTTTGATTCCTTTGAGTATTTTATACAAAGTGGAAAGTATGTGTAGAGAATTTCTATGGAATAAAAGAGATGGTAGTTATGGAATGCATTTTGTTTCATGGAGAAATATGTGTAAGCCTAAAGATAAAGGAGGTTATGGAGTGCAGTCTTTAGTTGAGAAGTTGGGACCGTTGAGAGCTAAACATGCTCTCAATTTCATCATGCCAAATACTCTTTTAAATAGAGTTTTAAGAGCTAGATATGGGGATGTACTATGGAATGGTATACATCGCAGCTGTCCCTCCTCGACCTGGAAGATAATTCAAAATGGTGCTGATTTTTTATTTCCGGTGCTGAGATGGAGTTTTTCAAATGGGGAGTATGTTGATACTTTCAAAGATATATGGATTCTAGATAAATCTCTAGATAAATGGCCTACCTTTGTATCTATTATAGAAACTGAATTCAGCCAAGTTTCTGATTTTATCTCAAATGGCAGTTGGGATATTGGTAAATTGAAAATTTGTTTTGGTGAGTTACTTATTGATTTGATCCTGTCTATTCCGATTCATTTAAGCTACCCTGAAGACAAAATGGAATGTATCAATAAGATATCTGGCAAATTTGTTGCAGCAATTATCTATGAGAAGAAGTTTGATGTAATCAGTGAAGAGGAAACATATAAATGGAGGAAGAAATTGAAGTTAAAACCAAAAATCGATATGTTCTGGTGGAGAATTAGTAAAAATGCTATTTCAACGTTTGCTTTGCTTTCTTACAGGAGGATAATATATCATGAAGGATGTCCTAGAGGGTGTTCGGACACAGAAAATACAGAGCATATTGTTACAAAATGTTTTTTTATAAAGAAGGTTTTTAAGCTACTGGCTGATTGGAATTTAGGTACTTCTGAATTTGAATCGGTGGATGTTTGTTATCAGGTTTTAAGCAAGTTGGCTAATATCAATCCTTTTTGAGGAAATCTTATTTTCTATGCTATTTTCTACTGCTGGAAAAGCAGAAATCAATTGGTTCATGGTGGATGTGATGATATCTGCTCTATCATAGCTTACAGAGCTATTATTCAATCTATTTCTTCGTTTAATTGTGGTTTAATCCGTGAAAATTGGGATGCCAATCAGCTTTTTAAGCTGTCCAAATCCTCTTGGCTTCCTCCTCCTCCGGGTTGGATCAAAGTTAACGTTGATGCTTCAATTTTTCTCAACAATAGTACTGGTATTGGAGGTATTTTCAGAGATTGCAAAGGAAGAGGTTTAGCTGCTTTTGGATTTCATACTATTCATTGGGATATTGCGCAAATGGAACTTTTAGCTATTTTATCTTTGAGGGATCATATCAAAGATTGGATGCTTGAAGACAAAGGTATTGTGATTGAAGGTGATAATATTAATGTCATCAACATCTTTCAAAATGCCTTAAAAAATAATAAGTGGGTTCATGAAGAATTTCTAAATCCTAAGGATTTAGATTTTCTTTATA